CAGCAGCCACTTCTGTCACCCTTGGCTTGTTCCATCACCCCCAGGGGAACAACTGTAACCCTCTTTGGGATGTGCTGGTCTAAGTTTTCTCTCTTGTGTGTGCCCTCCATGCTCATCTTATTCTGAAAGTTATGCAGTCTCACTGGATGGATTCAGAATGTTCTCATCTTTTAATATATTTTTTTAAATTTTTATTAGTGAAACACCATGAGGTACAGTTGTAGACTTACAAATTTTTGTGCTTGGGTTTCAGTTATACAATTATCCCTCCACCAGTGCCCATTCTCCACCACCACAGATCCCAGTAGCCCTCCCAACCCCCCATCCCACCCTGCCTCTGTGGCAGGAATTTCCTTTTGTTCTCTCTTCCTTTTGGGTGCTGTGGTTTGCAAAAGAGGCACTGAGTGGCAATCATATTTGGCCTATAGTCTACTTTCAGCATGCATTTCCCATCCTGGGAGGATCCTCCCAAAACCCTTTACTTGGTGCTCCCTTCTCTATCTGAGCTGCCTTTCCCCCTGGCATATGCGGCTGGCCTCCAAGCCATGGAGCGTACCTCCTGGTACTTATCTCAGCTATTGCGTGTTAGTTTCCTATTTTGTTACTTTATATTCCCCAGATGAACGCAATCTTTCTATGTCTGTCCCTCTCTTTCTGACTCATTTCACTTAGCATGATACTTTCCATGTAGTACCACTTGTATGTAAATTTCATGACTTCATCTTTTCTAACAGCTGCATAGTACTCCATCGTGTAGATGTACCAAAGTTTCTTTTACCAGTCATCTGTTCTTGGGCACTCGTGTTTTTTCCCCCAGATTTTGGCTATTGTGAACAGTGTGGCAATGAACATACAAGTGCAGATGTCATTTCGATTGTACTTTTTTTCCTCTTTGGGATATAATTCCCAGGAGTGGTATTATCTTTTAACTTATTTATTTGGGGGCTTTCCCAGCAGCTCTCAGGGACACAGTCATTCTCTGTCAATGAAGGAGAGGGCTTCCAGGCTCATTGGGGCAGCGTGATGGTGATTTAATGGGAGAAAGCATCCCATTTCCCCACAACTCAGTGTGCCAAGTCATGTGTCTTCATAAAGGAGGTACAGAGAGGTCAAGTTATTTGCTCCATGTCAACCAGCATGTAGGTGGAAGAGCCAAAATTTAAATCCAGGTAGGAATAGAACCAGCAAAGTGTTGAACTTTTTTTTTTTTGATTTTTGGGTCACACCTGGCGATGCACAGGGGTTACTCCTGGCTCTGCACTCAGGAATCAACCTTAGCGGTGCTCAGGGGACCATATGAGATGCTGGGAATTGAACCCGGGTTGGCCGTGTGCAAGGCAAACGCCCTACCCACTGTGCTATTGCTCCAGCCCCAGAACTCAGGACTTTTCACGGAGACTCTGACACTATTCCCAGCCTCCGCAACCCTTGTGACAGCATCTCTTGCTCTCATCCCTTTGAACACGGAGCTGATGACTGACTGGGGGTAAGGCAGGGCAAGTCCCGGAAAGCAGCAAAACGCAGGTCTCGGCTCTGCGCCTTCCCAGGCTCCCTGCTGTTGCTTGCCCTTCCCTTGTTAGCGGCTCTATGAGCAGTTTCTCCTGCACCACAGAAACTTCAGCTGCTATTCATCCTTTTCAAAAAACACCCAGTTTCAGGGTCTGCTGCCAGCACCTTGCCCTCCACCCCCATCACAACCTCGGGAACAGGGGCACCCTGCCAAGTGGAGGATGGGATCAGGGAGGGCTGATGGTGGAGGACAGTTCCAGGAGGACCGTGGCTGCCCCAGGTTGGCCATCCCCCCTCAGTTTACTGCATGGGAAATGAGAGGCCAGTGGTAGTAATGCAGCTTCAAAAGCTCCCACAACCAAAGGCGTACTGGGATGTTCAGTGCCAAAGCGCAGGGCTGACCCCACGGAATCTTCCTCGCCAGCTGCAGGAATGCCGAGATGTGGGTGGAACGGAGCCTCCCCAGGGGACTCTGTAGGCACTGAGTTCTCTTCCCATTGCAGAATAATCCATATCCCGTCCGTGTTTGGGCCTCGAGGGCTTGGGGATGATTCTAGACCTATAGTGAGTCATTGGTGACTGGTCAGGCCCCCTGCCAGGGGCTTCACACAGACCCTGTGAAGGCGTCCATGGAGGGACCGGCCCCTGCAGATAAAGAACCATAGGCAGGATGGAGGGAGGACTGAGCCGTGCAGAGAGGGGTGCAGAGCCTCCTGTGAGCCTGGGGTGCATGGCCTGACAAAAGCCGAACAAATGACTCCACATGCTGAGTCATTTGTGCCTTGGTACTACAAACCTTCCCAGCAGCCCCACTGAGCAGGCCCTGTCAGGCACTACCGTTCCCTTTGACATGTCAGGAAACAGCTCAGCCAGGAGGCACGCCCTGTCCTCGGTCCCAGAGCATGGGGAGAGACTTGACCCTCAGCCCCAGGGGCTGCAGGACCTGTTCCGAGAATCTCCATCCTCCCTCCCATCCTCGTCTGGTTAGTTCTTTCCATCTACCTTACAACCACCGCTCACACCCAGGTTGGCCACTGCTCAATCAGGTGGGGCTGAAGATCAGGTGGGGCGGGGTCCTCTTCCATCTGGTAATAAGAGTGCATGTCTGCTGAGCAAGGTGCTGGGGCCTGAGACTTTGGGCAATGCAGAAGCTGTGCTGGGGGAAGGGACTGACCCTCCCCAGAGGTTGGAGGTCATAGGACACAAGGGTGAGGGAGCATTAAACTTGGGGGACAGTCCTCTTGGCTTGGCCCAGGTTTTGCCTCTGCTGTTCCCTGGATACCGGCCTCTCTTTCCCTGCAAGTCTGCTCCGAGGAGGGGAAGAAGAGGGTAGATGCATTTAATTTCAGTTTTAAAGTTTTGGAGCTACCTCTAGCAGTGCTCAGGGGCCACTTGTGGAGGTGCGTGGCTTCAGGAGTTGGAGACTGAACTTGTTCTGCTCACATGCACTTCAGTCTTCTGAGCCATTTCCCCAGTCCCCAGACGTTAAAACCATTTGTTTTTTTATCTGAGGAGCCCCCCAAGCAGTGTTCAGGGGGCCTGGGATCCATTCTGAGCTAAAACTCAGCCACTGAGCGTGATGGCTCAATGTCAGGGACAGCAGGACCACACCCAGTGCTCCTGATTGGGGAGCAGGACATGCAGTGCTGGGGATTGAACCTGAGGCCTTGGGCATGCAAGACCTCAGGGCAGATTTCCTTTGGTAGCTCTGTGGGTCTTCATGGCCATCTGCTCCCCCTAATTCACTTCTCTCAGTCCAAATACCTTCCACCCTTGGATGCTATTGACGCAGGCTCCCCTACCTCCTGGGGGAAATAAGGGACCCTCCAGAGCTCCCCCACCTCCCCACTGGGAGAAACTGGGAGCTGGGTGTGTGTGTGTGTGTGTGTGTGTGTGTGTGTGTGTGTGTGTGGCGGGGAGTGACTGCCCTCTCTCTCAGCTCTGGTCCTCGGAAAGATGATGCTTCCCGGGAACCTGCAGAAAGAAGTCCCATTGAGGAATTTGGGTTTGGGGCATCAGCAGTATCCAGCTGCCCAACTCACTCCTGCATCGCCCCCCCCCCCCCACCCCCACACACAGCTTCTGACAGTGTTGCTTTTCATGGTGGGAAGATTTTTTTTAAACGTTGATCAGGATTTTTTTTGCTTTATAAAATTTGTGTATCATAAAATCTAAAGGGGAAAACCATGAGAGGCAGAAGAGTACCCCCTCCTTTTCAGATTTCCTCAGACGACGCATTGCATGCAGGTTCCCTGTGGCTTGAGCCACTGTGTGTCTGTGAGTGTGTGTGTTAGTTTGTGTGTGTATGTGTGTTAGTGTATATGAGTGTGTAAGAATATGTATGTGTGAGAAGGAAGTAGCCCCTAAACACCACCGAGATAGCACAGTACTCCCTCCACTTCCCACCCCCCTGCAATAAGATGGGACCAAACTGTCATGAGGCCATTCCCAACCCCCCGCTCCCACTGTGGCTGTCAGTTAGGGACTAGGATGCAGGTCTGTGATGCTTTGGTGGGAGAATGCCCATCAACCTGCTACTCTCCAGAGCTAAGCTCCAGTCAAGGTGAAGCGTTAGCCCCACTCTTCTCCTCTCCTTCATGGGGCTGGGACTTGTGCTGGGGTTTTCCTATGAAGAAAGGGTTTTACTGCTTTCCCCCTAAGGACATGGCTGATCTTGGGCTAGCTTTCTGTTTCTGTGGAAGTCACATTAAAAAAGGTGAAAGGTATCTGACAAAACTGCTGTGGGGAGAAGGGCTGCAAAGTGATGTCTCACTAGGGATGGAGTGTCTGGATGATGCCCAACAGCTCATTTCACCGAATTATGACTCATATAATGCGATGGGCATGGACTCAGGAAGGAGCCTGGGCACTGTGAATACTGACTGTGGCTCCTATGAGGTTCTGAGGAAAAGCTGCCCTCACAAGTCCTGAGGTCGATGAAGGTCATCTCACCCCAGGTAGAGTGGTGGCATGGGGAGGTACAAGAGAATGGTTCCTAGACGTGTTGAGGGCCCGTCCTCAGAGCCCTGGGCCCTGCCTGACCTGCAGCTCTGCCTCAGAATCAACCTGCAGGCAACACCACTTCCTCATCCTGCCTGTCCTAACTTGCTCACCAGAAGGCATCTATCACTCTCAGTGGAAATGGTCCCGGGGTGGTCCCACTTGCTCATCCCCCTCTGATGTCCTCGTGGCTTTCCCAGTGCCACCCCGCCTTGTTGGGCAATCAGGAATATTAACACCTGAGTATTAACAACAGTCCCCCACCCCCACCGTCCCCCACCTGTTCCACAACAAGACTCAAAAAGATGTTCACGATCATTTAATGGTCATCCCAAACACTCTTTATGGGGCAACAGGATGAATTCCATGATGGGCACTGAGGACCCAACATGCCCCAGACACCCTACAACCGAGGGCCACTTCCAGATACTTGGATCCCGCCCAAAGAGACACGGGGATAAACAACATGATCTCAAAAACAAGGCGATTCTTTCAGGGATTCTTACTTTTTTCTTCCTTCTCCTAACAACCTTCTTCTCTAGGAATCTGGACGCTCAGGATAGGAGAAGGCAATGAGGGGTAGGGGCTGTCCCGTGGCACTGGCAGAAAGAGAGGCGCTGCGAAGCCCGTACCCCAGTCGCAGCCGGCAGTCCTAGAGGCACAGGGCTGCTCAATAACGGACCTGCTCAATAATAAATAAAAGGGTGATTCCCAGAGCCACCGGCCTCGTCCCCCGCGCATGCGCACTACGTGTTGCACACAAGCACATCTGCGAAGGGTCCTTGGAGGGTCTTGTTGAAGATGCAGCGGACCCACACCAGGTAGGTGGTGAAGGGCTTGATGTTCTCGGTGAAGGTGTGGTTCTGCAGGGACAGGATGTAAGGCACGTAGGTGTTCTCGCCCTGCTCCTGCAGCCACACCTCGTACTTGACCTCCCGTACCTTCAGGTACTTGAGATTCCATGGGATCTGCCAGGAGACGCTGAGGCGGGCCTCGGATGCCCCCTGCACTGACGCCTGGCACCGTGCATCTCGCACCTTGCCCGGGTACAGGCCCATCGTCCACTTCTGCTTCCGGGACCCTGGCCGGCCCTTCACCACCTGCCGGATGGTCTGCATGAGGGACGGGATGTCCACCGTGGTGTCCTGGTAGATCCGGAAAAGCCATTCCGGGTTGCGGCAGCACAGATGCCTGGGGACCTCCTGGCTCTGCAGGATGCGGGCCTGCTCTGCCCGATCCAGGTGGGTGATGCCCCCCTGGTCCCAGGGCCGCTCGGGGTGTGTGACCGTGTTCTCCGGGATCATGTTCCGCCAGGCCACATACTGGAGGTCCATGCCGGGCAGCGTGGCAAGCGTCTTATAGGGGGTGTAGTGGTCAGGATTGACGGCGTAGGGGAAGAGTTCCACCACAGTGGCCCCCCGGGGAAGGAAGAGCGCAGTGACCAGCTGGGCCCCGTGCATGCTGACCAGCATGGATGCATTGCTGACCAGCCGGACCACGTCTGCGAAGGTATGATCTTCCAGAGTCACAGTGACCGTCTTCATCTGGAACTCCTGGGCCAGCGCGAGCAGCAACTCAGCCTCGTTCAGGATGAGTCTGTTCTGGGTGCGGCTGAAGACCAGGATGTAGTCCTCCCTGAGGGGGGTGCCCGTGTGGCTCACGTTCAGCTTCTTCATCATGAAATGTGCAAACTGCCGGATCTCTGTGCCCGAGACCAGGATGTTGGCCTTGGGGCCCTGGGGCTGGACGAAGCCATACTGGTACCAGGTGGTGATCTTGGAGAGACCCACGAATGCTTGGGAGAAGCACAGCAGCCGGCCCAGGGCCTTGAGCTGTGTCCGCAGAAGCGGTTGCTTGGGGCTCAGCAGCTTGTAGAGGTCGAAGTGTGCGCCCTCGCCCCAGCCCTCCATGAAGAAGAGCCGGGCCTCCTGGGCCAGGCCAGGAAACTGGCGCAGCGTGTAGAAGAGGGGCAGCAGGTCATCGTGGAAGACATGCATGAGGTTGTCGGGGTTGAAGCGATTGAGGATGAAGGCCACATCGGGCACGAACACGGGCTTGGGCATGAAACGCAGGGCAGCGGCCGGCAGCTCCACGAAGTTGAAGTACTGGGTGTTGTGGTCCTCCACGGTGGACAGGTCGAGCAGGGCTGGCTGGAAGCGCCGGGAGCCCAGGTTGGGCAGCATGACGGAGACGTTGCCGTGGAAGAAGATGAACTCCTCCGCCTCATTAGAGTAGCACAACCACTTGAAGCGGCAGACACGGTCGGTGTGCGTACGGCCGCTGCACACCATGTGCGTGCCACCCTCCATTAGCATCTGCAGGGCCTTGGGGTAGTTGATTCTCAGCATGGGGGTTGGCTCCGGGGCCTGGCGGCCCAGGGCCAGCTCCTCCTCCAGGGTAGCCGCATGCTCGCATAGACGCACGTGCTTCCACAGGACAGCTGCCAGCACGGACACCAGCAGGGCGTTGAGCACTGCTGAGAGGTGCATCCTCGCCACGCTGCAGGCACCCTAGGGACAAGGGGGCCTTGGGGAGGTGCTGCAGGACTGGTGTGTTTCACCCATCCCTGGAGGCACCCTGGGGACTGGTGAAAGTCTGCAGGAGGAGAGAAGGAGAAAGAAAAGGCGCTGACACAGGCTGTTTGGCAGAATTTCCAGCTCATGCTATGGGTCAAGCTCTGCTGTCCACAAGAGCCCTGGATCCAGCACCATCTGGTACATTTCACAGGAACAAGAGATGAATCTGTCCCAAAGTATTCACTCCCTCTCTCCTGGACGGCTTCCAAAGGGGTGGGGAGGGAGCACCCTGACTTTGATCTTGGCCACACAGCCTCCTGGCTGATGAGGTGTTTGACAGAACCCCCTTCAGACCTGGCTGGCTGCAGGAATTCCCAGAAGCAGGTGCTCGGTACCACATCCAGGGGCATCATCTCCTGAGACTCTGCTTCAGGAGACTTAGAGGGTGGCCTGGCAGCTGCATCTCTTAGTCCTGACTCATTTTCAAGTTTCCTTGTGGATTACCCAAATTCCATTCTACTTCTCTCTAGTGTTTTAAAATACATCTCATGGGGCTGGAGCAATAGTACAGCGTGTAGGGCATTTGTCTTGCACGTGGCGACCTGGGTTCAGTTCCCAGCTGGAGTAATTCCTGAGTATACAAGCCAGGAGTAACCCCTGTGCAATGACCCAAAAAGCAAAAAAAAAAAAAAAAAACCCAAAGAAAACCCCATACACACAAAAAACTAAAACCTCATCTCATTATACACACAAACACACCTATCTATCTATCTATCTATCTATCTATCTATCTATCTATCTATCTATGGCTTCCCTAGGTATCAGAGTCCATAGATGTGATTTAAAGTTTATAAGTACTGATATTTTGCCTTTGTAGGAGAACCTACCCCCTATCTTACACTTATTTAGAATTATCTTAAATTTACGTACATTGAGACCCACATCAGACAGTCCTGCCTTGTGCTTCAAGTGGAAAATGTAATTTCCTCAAGAGAAAAGGGAAAGTCTACACTGACCCATATTTTTATACTTTCTGTTCTCTCTTCGTCCCTGATGTTCCAAGGTTTCCTTCCATTATTATTTAGTTTTCCTGAAGAATTTCTATTAGTCATTCTTTTAGGCAAGATCTGCTAACAACAAAATCTCTTGGTGCTGGAGTGATAGTAGAAGGTAAGGCGCAGACTACACATGCAGCCAACCCAGGTTCAATCCCTGGCACCACGTAAGGCACCTGGAGCCAGGAGTGATTCCTAAGCCCTGAGTAAGGTGGGTTGCCCCCACCCCCCCAAAAAAATAGCCCTCCCCCCCCCAAAAAAAAACCAAACCAAACTCCAAATCTCTCATTTTCCTTCAAGTGAAAATGTCTTGATTTCAACTTCTTCCCTAGAGGGCATTCTTGGTGAGTATGGAATATGCTGACCTCAACGTTTTCGGGAAACATCTGCTTTGTTTGGATGGCCACTGCCCTTGAAGCAATGCGTCCTTACCCTCTTGGGACTCCTAAGAGTTTTCCTTAGTCCTGGTGGATGGAGGGTCAGAGTTGTGGTGGTGGTGGTGGGGAGGGTAGGGAATTTTGTTGATTTTACTCACTCTTATATCTATAGGTTTATGCCTTTCACAAAATTTGGGAAAATTTTATTTATTTAGTTTTGGGGTCATATTCAGCAATTCTCGGGGATTACTCCTGGCTCTGCACTCAGGAATTACTCCTGACGGTGCTTGGGAGACCATACAAGATGCAGGGGATCAAACCTGGATCCACCATGTACAAGGCAAACACCCTACCCACTGTACTATTGCTCCGGTTCAAATATGGGGAAATTTTAGGCATTAGTCTATTCAATACTTTTCTAACCTCACATGGCTCTCATAGGGCTCTAAAAATACTGATGATGGATTGAAACTTTTTCTTTTTTTTTAGGGAGAGAGAGATAGCTCAAAAGGTGGAGCACATGATTTGCAGGCACAAGGGATCAAACATGATACCTGATCTAGGAAGCTCCCTTCTCTCTCTCTCTCTCTCTCTCTCTCTCTCTCTCTCTCTCTCTCTCTCTCTCTCACACACACACACACACACACACACTCTGTATCTATCCAGCTGGAGCACTGACCTACCAAGCAGGTACCAGGCCAAGTAGAGTCAGGAGTGGTACCAGGCCCCCAAGCACCACTGTGGAGGCCCCATTACAAATTTGCTTTATATTGGGGCTGGAGAGATGGTACAGAACTTAATAAGACACTTGCTTTGCATGCAGCTGACCAGGGAGTCAATCCCCATCACCCAGTTCTGTTCCCCCAAGCCCCACCAGAGTGATCCATGAGCACAGAGCCAGGAGTAAGCCTGAGCACCACCACGAGTGATCTAACTCCCCAACCCCCACTCCCATCACTTTATAGGAGTCTGAGGCCATGTAGAGTTCTTTTTCAAGTCTATTTTCTGTCATTATCTGTCATTGTCCTTACTGGGTAATTTTAATTGTTCTTTTCCCTGATTCTTCCTTCTGTCATCGCCCTTCTATCTGGTAATTTTTTAAATTGGTCACTGTATTCTTCAGTTCTCAGACATCCACTTAGTTCTTTATATAACAGTGATTTCATGCAATTAGGTTCAACCCAATAAGGTGAAGATTCTGGCAGAGAGGAAATGGGGGGGGGGGAGAAATGGGGGAATCTCAGAAGAGATGCCAAACCAATGAAACTTCCAGGTATACAGATCTTCGGGCTGAAAACTCTGGGCCCTCCTGAAGTGGGGTGAGCAGCCTCCCCTCTACCTGATAATGCTAGAAGTCCCAGCAGCTGCACCTACAGCCCTCAGCCTCCACCATATAAATGGCTCAGCTTCACAGTTAAGAGATGCCAACTGATGAAACTCCCAGGTACACTGGTCTTTGGGCTGAAAACTTCGGGGCCTTCTTGGGAGGGGGTAGGCTGAGTCCCCACCCTCCCAAAGCTCCAGCAGCTGCACCCACACCCCACAACCTCTGGCATATAAATGGCCCAGCTTCACAGCGCCAAGACTAATCTCAAGAGATGCCAAGTCCAAAAATCGTCCCAGTTCTACAGCTCCTGGAGCATGCAGCCACATACCTTCAAATTCCATAATACTGACAGCCTAGTAGATGCACAGTAAATTAGATGGAAAAGTAACACAGATGCCCACTAACCTCAATAAATAAAAACAGTAACACAGGAGGCTCAATTAGCGTCAAACAACTCAATAAACCCTCAATGACTTTAATAACTCCATTGTGAGTTATAATAATTTTCACAAATTTTATTTTACTGTATTATTTTTTGATAATTCCACTTACCATTTTGTTGTAACAAGCAATATAAAATAAATTATTTTGAGCCTATAAGGGGGCCGGCTTGTTGGGTGGGTGGGAAACCAGAAGCAATGGTGGAAGGAAAGGTCAAAGGTGGGATTGGTGTTGGAACACTGAATGCCTGAAACAATGATATTATGGACAACTTTGTAAACCACAGGAACTAAAGTTATAAAAAGAAAAAAGAAAATGTCAGGGCCTCAGGTGGTTAATGGAGGGCCACGGGAACAAGCACAATGAAAGATGGAGTTTTAAAACATGCTGGACATGCATGGCTGCCTTTGCCCCATGTGACACAAATGCTGATCAGTACCCAGGTAGGAACTGTCACTTTCTACCAGTCACTGGAACAAGAATTTTAAACCTAGGCAGGAGAAAAGGAAAATCCCTGTCAAAGACGGATGTTGAGGCCACATGGAGGATGTGGCTGTTCTGTGCTGCTGTTCCGTGTGGTGCTGTGGCCCAGAGTCTGATGTCAAGCCCAGTTCCTTGGGATTCTGGGTCAAGCGTATTAATAAATGACACAGAAGATGCCAGGACTACCTAGCACCCTCCCCCTTTTCCGTTTCTTAATCAAGTCCTAGACTTGCCCAGAGAGTGGTCCCTTCCCAAGATCAGATGCACTCCTACTATGCACCAGGCAGCAGAAAGCAAGTGCCCACCAGTCAGTTACCAGTCCCCTCGGGTCCTGACTAGGGCAAAGCAGACCTCAGGGTCTGAGTCCTGTTCCAAGCCACCACTAGTAGACAGCGAAAGGAAGGTGGATTCCCAGGCTACTGCCTGCCACCTGCTGACCAATCTCACCAAGTGGATAGAGAAAGGGAGGCAGTTTCCAGTCTAGCCTGCCACCTGCTGACCAATTCCCACCTAGTGGAAGCGGTTCCCTGGATGCTGCCTGCCACCTGCTGACCAAGAAGGAAGTAGCCCGACAGCAGAGCCAAAATGCCAAGAGCAAAATTCCTGGTACTAATCTCGGCCATTCTTGGGTGTTAGTCTCCTATTTTGTTACTTTATGTTCCCCAGATGAATGCAATCTTTCTATGTCTATCCCTTTCTTTCTGAGTCTCGCCACAGAGGCAGGGTGGGATGGGGGTGTGGGGGGTGGGAGGGATACTGGGATCCGTGGTGGTGGGAAATGGGCACTGGTGGAGGGATGGGTATTTGATCATTGTATAATTGAAACTCAAGCACAAAAATTTGTAAGTCTACAGCAGCCAACATGGCCGACCCGAGTTTGATTCCTCCGCCCCTCTCGGAGAGCCCGGCAAGCTTCCGAGAGTATCTCGCCTGCACGGCAGAGCCTGACAAGCTCCCCGTGACATATTCGATATGCCAAACACAGTAACAACAAAGTCTCCAATGGAGACGTTACTGGGCCCGCTCGAGCAAATCGATGATCAATGGGAGGGCCTTTACCTTTACCTTAACTGTACCTCATGATGTCTCACTAATAAAAATTTTTTAAAAAGTCAAAAAAAAATTATTCCAGTCCTCCTAAAAAAAAAACGCCAAGAGCAATGTGGCAGAGGAAAAATGCCACAGAGACCCCAGTTGCTGGAGCTCTGGCTGGGGGTGGGGGGGGGGCTTTCCTCACCACTGATGCTGGTTTGAGTTTGGCTTTGGGTAATAGCTGAGAGTGGTCTCTTGGGCACAGAATGATACTTTTTGCAGAGTATCATGCATGAAGCAGATGCATGAAAGCTGAGTCTCCACCTCCTGACT